TGTTGACTACATGGATATCACGTTTTGGGTGCCCGAGGGACATTATAACCGATCGTGGCCGGCAATTCGAATCCGCTCTCTTCGAACATTTGGCAAAAATAGCAGGTTTCAAGCATAAAAGAACAACAGCCTATCATCCGGCGTGTAACGGATTAGTCGAGCGGTTCCATCGTCAGCTTAAAGCATCAATAATGTGCCATGCGAACGATAAATGGACAGAATCCTTGCCTTGGGTCTTGTTAGGAATCAGAAGCGCTTTCAAAGACGACTTACAGTCATCATCCGCCGAATTATTATACGACGAGCCACTAAGACTTCCTGGCCAATTTTTTGACCCATCTCCAAACGGACCAACTGATGTAACAGAGTTTTCTACTCGCTTGCGCTGTTTTGCCGAGAAACTGAGACCTGTACCAGCTTCACGCCATGGTAAACAAAAGGTATTTGTCTTTAAGGAACTGGCAACTGCTAATCACGTTTTCCTACGAGAAGACGCTTTACGCAGTTCCCTTCAACCTGCTTATTCGGGCCCTTACAAGGTTATGTCTAGAAATGACAAAATTTTTAACTTGCTTATTAAAGGTAAAGAAGTTTCTGTCTCGATAGACCGTATAAAACCAGCTTTCATATTATCAGAGGGAAACGGTGAGGAGCCTCTTACAAATATAAATAAAAACTATGTCACTCATTCTGGACGCCGCGTAAGATTCCCAGATTATTATCGCCCATGACGGTCTCTGGGGGGGAGTGATGTAGGGTACGTGACTTAATTCCTACATTATTATGTATAAGAAATGTTATTTATTTTATATGTACATTTACACATATACTTAAACTAACATTAAACTTACTTACACAACACAATTATTTAACACAACATATATATCGTGTCGCTGGCATGCTCCGATATTTTACGGTGCACTGGAAACGCGCACGATGACCGGTTCCCTATTGTTCTCGGGGCTCGGCAGGCTTGCGCCGTGAGCGTCAAGATGGAGGGACCAAGTCTCGGATTCCCAATCTATTCATATCAGTTTTTAGTACCAAAATTCTACTATTTGCTACCTTTGTTCAAATTTTAGCTACCTCAATAATTTTGTTAAAAAATAAAAAAATATTTGGTCCCTCCATCTTGACGTCAAGATGGAGGGACCACGTGCAAAAACTGTGTGGATAAATAATCTACCTATGCAGAGTTTTAGTACCTAATTTCTACCTTGACAATATCGCCTTTGTTTGTACCTCACGTGAAAAGTTTAAAAAATATCGACTATAAATGTTGGTCCCTCCATTTTGACGATTCGAACATTTTGCATTACGCCGTAATAAATACGTTTTTAAAGATTTTTCAAAAACCATCATTTAGTACCTATTTTCTACCTACAGATAATACTACAGTCCGTATTTAAAAGTTTGATTTTACATAATAAAATTGTTTTTTTAAATTTGTATGAAGGCCTAACATAAGAGCCCTTTCACACGGGCGATTTTTGCCGGTGATTTATCGGTGGTGCAGTATCGAGGAACTAGAGGAATCAATAGGTCAAAATATGTATCACATTTAAATTTTTTGTGTTTTCTAATCACTACAGTTTTTATTTCATCAAAATCAGTCCATTATAACCAATCCAAGGATAGGTATAGCCCTGTAAAAATCAGCTACGTTTTTCGAATTTGCCGCACCGACGATTTATTGACGGAGGCGGGTGACGTCAACAAATAAAATCAACTTGTACTGGTTTTCCCTAGTAACTGTACGAAAAACCAGTAAAAGATAATCTCTCCATACAAACGCTCGTGGCTTCCTCGTCACAATATTAATTGTGATTGTCAGTACAAGTTAAATTCAATACGAGAACGTAATGTGGGTAATATGGATCAAGGCCGATTTCAATACGAAAACGTTATATGTCTGACCGCTAGTATTGTTCTATGTGCAGCAGACAAAAGTTGTATGGATAGATCAACTTACACTGGATTTCATACAGTTACTTAAGATAACCAGTATTAGTTGATCCCATGTGTTGACGTCGCCCGCCTTCATCAATAAATCGTCGTCGGTGCGGCAAATTCGAAAAACGTAGCTGATTTTTGCAGGGCTATGACCTTCGATTGGTTATACTGGACCGATTTCGATGAAATAAAAACTGTACCTAGTGATTAGAAAACACAAAAAATTTAAATGTGATACATATTTTGACCTATTGATTCCTCTAATTCCTCGATACTGCACCACCGATAAATCACCGGCAAAAATCGCCCGTGTGAAAGGGCTCTTATGTTAGGCCTTCATACAAATTTAAAAACAATTTTATTATGTAAAATCAAACTTTTAAATACGGACTGTAGTATTATCTGTAGGTAGAAAATAGGTACTAAATGATGGTTTTTGAAAAATCTTTAAAAACGTATTTATTACGGCGTAATGCAAAATGTTCGAATCGTCAAAATGGAGGGACCAACATTTATAGTCGATATTTTTTAAACTTTTCACGTGAGGTACAAACAAAGGCGATATTGTCAAGGTAGAAATTAGGTACTAAAACTCTGCATAGGTAGATTATTTATCCACACAGTTTTTGCACGTGGTCCCTCCATCTTGACGTCAAGATGGAGGGACCAAATATTTTTTTATATTTTAACAAAACTATTGAGGTAGCTAAAATTTCAACCAAGGTAGCAAATAGTAGAATTTTGGTACTAAAAACTGATATGAATAGATTGGGAATCCGAGACTTGGTCCCTCCATCTTGACGCTCACCTTGCGCCCGCGCATAGTCTAATAAAACATGGTCTTTCCTTCCCAGAGAAACACAAGACAACGTCACTTAGTATTGCCATTTTATTTCAATAAAATACGTTATGGGGTAAATTCAATCTCAGAAAAGTGACCTAAAATATATCTTAATAATTTTATAATTTAGATTTACGTGTGTATTAACTTGAACTTTACAACAACACTTCAATTGTATTTATTAGTTAAGAATATCATAAATGATTTACAAAAAACATCATAAGAGTGGGTAGTTCTGGTAACCCACAAGCATGATGACGTAGACATGTGTTGGTCACGTGGTCCACGAGTCTCGGAACGGAATACCAGGCGGAGTATCTTATTATACCATGCGCCCGCGCAACCTTCCTCCCGCCAGTCGAGATCTATTAACCGCGCAGGACGCATGTCGCTTTCGCTAATATTTTCTATCGGCTACCGCTGCACACTCGCTTTTCGATCTTGTGATTTTCTAATGCTTTACCTTTACGCCTTATTTTTCCTCTTCTATCTGAACTGTACCTTTCCGCTACTGTGCTAGTGAACTTGAACTCTGTATTCTTCTTGTGCTTTCTGCTCTTCTGTACTGGCGGTTTTGTGGAACATCAATAAATGAGCATTGAACTGTAAGTCTGCATATTATTTGAATACGACCTACGCAGCCCACACGTCCAAATGGACAGAACTTGGCTCGCCTGCCACCCGAGCGTATGCCGCGCCTATGCAGTGTCTCGGCACGCTCAAAATCACCGTGTGGACGCGCCTAATGATTAACAAAAGTCCTGTAAGAATCTGTCAATGATATCTATGCCCTATCATGGCTGCATACTAGATTCTGAATTAAAGATGATAATAATTCTTAATTTGATCACGAAATACTTTACCTAAAGCTTCGTAGCGGTTCAAAACGTCAAGCGGCTGTTTAAACTCTGGGTATTTATGCACCACAGACATCAAGTAGTCCTGAAAGTTAACGAATATTTTGAATAATATCCTCATATTTGCTGTGTTCTACCTATGGGTGGTGTTTTGATAGGCGATCAAGGGTTAAAAGGCAGCAGCATTCCTCGCGAATACAACACCTTGCGTTGATCTCGTCTATCGCCAAGCGAGGTGAGAGTGGCAAATATCTTTCTGATAGTTGGAGTTGGATACTTAAGTAAAGCTTTTACATGATTTATAGAAGAAAGGGACCCGAATTGGAAACATAATTGTTGACATCCTGCTAGAATGTAATATGAAAAAGACGCAAACAATACTGTTGCCATTTCGGGTCCCTTTCTTCTATGAATCGGGTTGTAGTTGTATTCCTATATTTCGTCGTCCAATGCTAACCTCGTAGATGGTGTAATCCTTGACCTGCTTCTCCATCAGCGCTTTAACCTCCTGCATTTCGGCGACTCTTTGCTTCATAGCTTCTGTCTCGCGAGTCTTGCGCTCCAGCATTTCGAGGTCGGCCTCCATCTTGCGTTCGGCGCGGTCGCGTTTCTCCTGGTTCTCGCGGATGAACTGAAATGATACGTATGGTTAGAGGAAGGATAGCCAAATACTTTATTGCTCACATTAAAAGCATAACATACAAAAAAAGCAAAAACAAACAACATAATGCAGGTGATACCTACGGTGAAAAATTTCCGACCTAATATACAAAATTCGCGATCAGCTGACTGACTTTGTATGGAAGTTCGGAAAAATTTTCTCGTTTCCCACCATTGGCTCCAAAGTAAAAGTTGTTCAGTTTCATCGTCTGATCACGCCTGCAAAGTTTTCGGTACACCGGTCAACCCCTTGAGTGTTTCATGTGCACACGGGTGCTCAAGAAATTTGAGAGCCCCGCGTGTCGCGCACATCACACTTGGCAACCTTATTTTACATATTACCTACTAAGAAGCAAACTCGTTCAGGCAACCTTACAGACGTACGTAATCACAATCATAACCTTGTTGAAGCTAATAAAAGACTCTTTCAAAAGCAGTTCCCGGGTCCTCAGGTCCTTCCACTTCTCGTCCATAGCAGCGCGGTTTTTAGCAGCTTCCTCGCGTTTCAGGGCCAGTTTCTCGTCAGCCTCCATCAGGTCGCGGCGGGCTTGCTCCATGAGGACCGTCGGCGTGGGGCGCGCCACGTCCCATACTGGGTATTTTCTGGTACAAAAATGGGACTACTTCGTAACTACGGTAGGTAACGAGACGAGCATCAAGAGGTTGAGAAATTCACCAGGGTTCGCTAGACGCCCGTAGCTCAGTTGGCAGAGCGGTGGGACGGTACCCGTACCCCCCGGTCCCGGGTTCAAGTCCCGGCGGTCGCTAGTTAATTTTCCAATTTTCTTATTTTCAATTTATGAGAATAATATAGCACTGATTGGCAATGCATTAAAAAAAGTACAAAGGTTACTTTTAACTACTACTTAGTTGTAACCTTTGTACACATATTGGGCGTGTTCTGCAAAATTTAACAACTTTCGATCGAAACTTTTCCTCGAAATATAAAAGTAATGAAGAAGTTCGTCACTTAGAAAGGGATGTCTGGGGATAGGTATCCAACTTTTTTTTCATTTTCGATGAAAAATTTCTAATAAAACTTGTTCAGTTTTGTGAGTAGGTAGAATAGGGTCAGGTAGGGATCGGTGACTCGGGCGGGTACATTGACTCACGCTAATATTTCGTAATAGGACAGCTATATCTATCTGTATTCCTAACAAAATGGTAGCTCTTGACAACCAAACACATACAAACCAATAATCCGTCCACTTCAGTACGGTTTGATTATGAAAAAAATGTGCGATTGGTTTTGCACCTCTTAAAATGCTTTTAAAGGTACCCCACATGTATTTTTATCGGTTAAGATTGAAAGATTTAGGGAAATGTAATTATTATGATCGAAAGTGGTGTTCAAATACTAAGTAATAAGCTAGATTTGTTAGCTCTTAGAGTATTCTGGTAATATTTGTAGGCTAATTATTTAAAAAAAGCGTCGGCGTCTACACTGGCTCAAATTTCAGTGGTACACAGTGACTCCAACATTCAGTACTGGCTCATCTCACTATTTTTAGAAACATTAACAAACTGTAAAATATTTCTTATGGCAATAGTAATGATATGAAAAGAATACTTTGACAAATATAATTGATTAAAATGCATAGTTTCAATAAATATTGTACTTGCACTCAGGCTTGCCAAGTCCATATAAACTGTTAGAGTCACTGTGTACTACAGGGGTTGAGTCAGTGTAAACATGTACTTGTACACAGTGACTCACATTTTTTTTTCTAGAAAAATATGTCTGGTTGCCAAAGTGTTGTGTTATTGCAAAAAATGATAATGCGTAACGAAAGAGTATTAATCAATACATTCTAGATATGAATTTCAGTTTGATACTTCAAGGTTTTCTATAATTTTTTATTGATTGAAGAAATCCGAGTCACTGTTGCCTACCTGACCCTACGCCCTCAAAATATTTGTATTTGATTAAATTTAATCCTTTATTCTTTCTGATTGTCAGGTTCTGTGGAAGTGAACTTCATAGGATGTTCATATTCATAGGAAAGACTTTTTTCGGTCCTTGAATTTTGAAGCGCACTGGAACCATCGAGTTGTACCCAAGTGGAACTACCCAATATTAAGTTTTATACTCGTTCTGCAGAGTAACAGTGGAATGATATTCGGGTTCAAAGAGCACTAACAAATTTTATTTTCGATTTAGATAATTTTACAATGTTTACACCTAGACACTTTCAATGACAGTATTTTTTCACATCACTGTGACACGACAACACTTGACACAGTCAAAGTCATACACAGATGAGCTCTATGCACAGGCCACTATTTTGTCCAAAAAGGTCTGCGCCTAACACTTTCCCTTGCACTTTAGGTATTTCTGCTGCAAACACCTAATAGGGCACACATTCCGGCTTGCTTCTCCTTCGGAACTGCCTTGGTTAAGAAGTTAGCCAGTCGCTCATCTGAGCTCACTTTCTTCATCACCAAACCGCCTTCTTCTACATGTAGTATTGGCACTTCTCCAGCGTCAATAAAGCATTTAAGTAACGCGCTCTTCTGGTGAGCCTTGTACTTCACTCCATCGGAGCAGGTGCCCTTGATACAGCGCATGATACGCTTTACTAAAAGCCAGTCTTCTTTAGTTCGAGACTCTAGCTTACAAGATGCAACTCCAACGGCATAAGCGATATCTAGGCGCGTTCCCGCCATCAAGTAATCAATTGACTCAACGGCTCCACGGTAGGGAAGTGTGCTTCTTTGCATCCACTTTCCTGATTGAGTGCTCTCAAATTATAGCGAGGTTCCGCTATCTCTAGCTCTTCCTCATTTGATTCTATGATCACATCATTTGAAGCTTCTGGATCTTCAATGCTGTGTTCGTCTTCATGAACTTGATCTAATACTCTATCTCCCTCTAGAGCTAGTTCATGCTCTTCAGTTTTCACGTTAGGCTCTGTTTCGGAGATGTTTCAATCTCCGCTCTCAGCTCCCTCTGATTGTAGGGGCATACCTACTAGTGGAGATTTTGAACACTTCGTAGCCTATGAGCATGCCCTTGAGGCTTTCTTGCTCATCTTCTTGCGTTTCTTTAGGTACGTTAACCTCTATGGTTCGCTTGACTGACGTGACTGTCTTCATTTCTAGCTCATACAGTCCACCAAACGCCGATCTTTTGCCGACAATTCTTGTCGTGCCTTCTACGTCAAACTTGCACTCTCTAATCTTTGACGTAAATTCACTATTCTGCATTCTGTCATGTGCAGCGAGCGGCGAGAAAAGGTTCTTCGTCAAGTTTGGTACTAGCCACACATCTCGGAGCATTATGTTCTCCCTCCTGCCATCGACCTTCGCTTCGACCTCTACAGAGCCTTTTCCTACGGCAGGAATTATGGTTCCGTCAGCTGTTGTAACAGTGTGGTCTTTGTCGAATTCATGGAACTCTTTGAAGAAGTCTCTCCTTACAGCTATGTGTGTAGTTGCTCCGTTGTCGACAAACCAATTGTCTCTATTTTGAGTTTGTCCTTTCGCACTGGAGCAAGCGTTCACCATCAGTGAGATCTGTTGCACTTGCTTGGATTCTGAGCTTTTGCCTGACGTGCCTTGTACTGGTTTGGGTGGCCTCCCATCTCCAATCCACTTCTTACACTTGCGAACTCTATGTCCTTTTGCATGACAATAGTTGCAAATCAGGTGCTCGTCCTTGCATTTGCGATATCCACTCGGTGCAGTTACTAGGGCTTCCATTCTAGTGGTCTCTTGACTGCCTAAGTCTCTTTCAAAGGTGCAGAGGTGACTCGTCAGACTGTCAATTGTCTTTTCAGACTGCTTTAGCATGAGCCAGCTTGATTTAAAATTGACGAACCGGTCATCTAGAGTATCAAGAACCTTGCATATTAGGAACATCTCAGGTAATTTAGCAGTTGCGTCTGTTTTGGATACTTCAGCTTTCAAATCGTTCCACAAGTTTTTCAGTTTTGACATATGTGTCGCGATGTCATCTGCCTTGTCATGTTTTGTGCTGAAGAATTCCATGCACAGCGTGTATGCCCTGTCACCCGTGTTCCCGTCAAATAATCTGTGCAGCTCCTGCCATACCTCTGATGCCTTCCTGTACCTCATTACTTTGGTTAAGGTGTCTTCTGACATATTTGTGGTCAGCATCAGAAGAGCGCCAGTTTCAGTTTTCTTAAATTTGGCCAAAGCCGCATTATAAGCTGTTACGGCGGCGTCACCTTCTGGGCCTTCTACAGGAGTTGGTGGAGTCAATTTGCCCTCGACGGCTGCCATTGCATTCTCCGTCCCTTCCAGCATTATTGACATTTTGTATTTCCACGTCGTCCAGTTTGATTTCCCGGCCAGCTTCCCAATATCAATTTTCGTCGTAAAATCCATCTTCGAAAAAATTATTCGCGACTCTTCGCCCAAATATTAGCGGGTCCGTGACCTATTAATAAAATATAACTATAATATCAAAAGAGCGCTGGCGAATTTTATTTTCTCGAGTTTATTTACAACAATGTGTTTTCACCTAGAGACTTTTGTTGACAGTATTTTTTCACATCACTGTGACACGACAACACTTGACACAGTCAAAGTCATACACAGATGAGCTCTATGCACAGGCCACTATTTTGTCCAAAAAGGTCTGCGCCTAACACCCAAGTTTGCAAGTACTAGTAAAGATGGATTTTGGTGCAATAGGTGCATAGGTCCAAATAGGTCCTGCTTTCTCTCCTGATAAGAGAAAATTCTTTTCTGCAAGAACTTTTTCTGAGAAATCGGGAAATACTTTTCTGTGAAAACTTACAAATTTAGATGATAATCTTATGGTTTTATTTATTTGGTGCAACAAGTGAACTTACTTCACCATGTTGGCGCTTTCCATCAACGACTTGTAGTACTCCGCACAAGCAACTTCCGGCGGCCCATGGGGAATGGCGATTGGCGCCAAATCCTTCAGCCCCATTTTCTTCATGTTTCTATATCGGGTGGAATAGTTTCTAAAAAAGAAAATCAATAAAGCTGATAAGCCTTTACGATTGATAAGTTAGATTTTTCGAGCAAGTTTTTTGAAGAGATAGCAAATCATAGCAAATAAACAAAATACGTTGCTAGGCAATGCGATAGAACTTTGATAGAACTTCTGTTTTTTAAGGTCGTTGCACACTAAACTTGTTCAACCGTGCGTTTTCAAATATACGCAAAAGGTAGGTTCGCAAAACCTACCAAAATTGTTAAAATTTAAAATGGCAACATATTTTTGTCTATGGTCAACGTCAAATACTCATAAAGGCGGGTATTCATTGGGGATAAAATCCCCGAAAATTTTATATCAGATTAGATACAATTTACGAGATTTATCTGAACAAAGTTCGAAATGAAGACGCTCCTTCGTTGGAAACATTGTCCCGGAACATTGTTTAGATGCGTCATCATTAAGAACTTGAGTATTTAGGTAATGTCGCAAAACTTTGTCCCCGAAGTGTTCCCAATGAATACCCGCCTTTATAATATAAAATTTGACAATCAGCTGATTGAATTTTAGGGTTATGTGATGCTGGTGAAACTTTGGTTTAAATTTTTCACTAAAAAACAATCCTAAATGTCCTTAAACTCCGAAAAACTTGAGGTATCCAGTTAGCCCTTAAATTAACTTTCGAAATGGAGATGAACAAGTCGTTTTGGACTGGCCTGGGTTGCGGAATTTGTATTGGAGCTTCTATGTTAACTCTTAGAAAAATTTATAATACCGGAGTAGTATTGCGCAAGGTAACTAATTTTAGATTAAATTTTTAAATAATAGACTACA